GTAATCACATAAAATAGTGCAACATGTAATGTAACTGTTAGAACTTAATGCATGCTTGTGTACAATAAACAGGAATTTCTTGTGTTCCATGGCAGCCGAGAATGCAAGTTCATTGTTTGTAATTTCTATTATTCAGGATGAAGCCAGTGGGAATGCTGCAGTGAATCGGCATGTGCCATTCAAGAGATGACACTCTGCACCATGTTAATTTCTGACATTTAAGGTCCATAAAAGCAGGTAAAGATCTTAACCTGGTGAATGTCTAGATGTTGCCATACAAAATGTGTGCTTTTATTTCATAAAATATTTTAATTGGTATACAATAGACTTTGAACTATAGGCATCTATCGAAATGGATCTTGATCTGTCTTTAACGGCGGTAAATTTTTGGTCACACATTCCAATTCCAAAATCTGATCACTTTGGTTTGAAGTAAATTACCTAGTGTTGCATAAGTGTAAAGCCACATCAAATTCTTTCATTTGGGCAAATCCATTCTACAAAACACTTCACCAAAAATATCCAATTTTGGTAAACTGATTTTAGGCAGCTGCACTTTGTAAACTAGAATCACATAGATGTGATGCCATGTCTAATTATCCTCACTGAAGACTTTCAATAATCATCAGTTTAGGTTCAGGTATGGCCATGTCAAACTAATGCTGCTAGCTAGTATTTATCAAGTAATTTGTGACTGATGTATTTCTTGCAGGTGCTGTGTATGGATCCCTTCATTTACATCTGCATAGGCTCTTCGGGAGTTGACAGAAAGCCGAGGTCTTGCAGTAAAATGTGACCATAGATTGACTGACTTGCGTAGAATAAGTTTAAAAAAAATGTCCACTGAAGCTAATTGCTGTCAGGGTTACTGAGGCTTTTGACAGTGAAATGGATGTCCATCATTGGAGGTGGGGATGCTGCAATGCCACCTTTACATCTTAATGTGTGATGCACCACAGTTGGAGCTCTCCAGTGTTTGTAGGCGAGTATTGCACAGAAATTGACGAAGCAGTTTTTTTAGTGATGAGAAGTTTGCTGTGTATTTCTGTTTGTTCTCTGTTCATAGAACCAAAACAAATTTGTCAACTTCATTTGACTTTTAATAAATATACAGTATATTGCAGAATACACAAGATTTGCTGGTTTTCATATGAAATACGATTGACAGTGTCATTTTGTTTGCCTCACTTAATAGATGTTTGTGACAAGGTAAATATTGTGTGTAATGCATAGGACTTATATTCGCCGGTTGTGGAGGGCAGAGAAAATAGGCACATTTGTTGGTACCCTTAAAGACGCAATTATCTATTGAAACTGACAAGTTTAATGGTGTCCCTTATTGTTTGTTCCATATTTAACACAAATCAGACTGCTTTTCATTATTGATTCAGTTGAATATTTTATATAATTAAATGAAAATGCCACAGACAAAAGGTGGTACCTTTTTAATATTTTTTGGCACCACCTTTTGCAGCAATCACTGCCAACTAGCGATCTCTATTCGCAATGAGACGTCTGCATTTGCTCATGGGTAGTTTGGCCCAGTCTTCCTGAACAAACTTCATGCTGTCTCAGGTTTGAAGGGTGGATTCTCCACACTGCAATTCTCAGATCTTTTCATAGATGATCAATAATAAGATCTGGGGTCATGGGGTGCCGTTTAAGAATAGTCAATTGTGTTTTGTCAGCCATTCTTGAGTGGTTTCAGCTGTATATTTTGGGTCATTCTCTAGTGGGGCCCTCCTGGGTCCATGGAACCCATTACTGTTCAAAATGCGACAGAAATGAAGCACCGTTTCAATGAGCTGTAAGGGTATCGACAAATTTGTCTGTCTTCATATATGAGAAACATGTATGTATGATATGTACGCAATTAAAAGGAGTATTACTGCAAACCGATGAGTAATCGGTTAAAATAATTTAGACATACAAAATTACTTTCTAGGTGTAATGGTTATAAAATACAGTATCTCAAAACCGTATCGAACTTAATTGGCCTCAGCATTTAAACTTGAAACATGAGCTTGAGGGTCCAGAACAAGGAGGGGGAAAAAATGGGGCTGGGTGATATGGCAAAAAATGTTATCCCCCTCCCCCCCATTTCAAATGACATTGATAATTATCACGATAAAATACAAGTCATTATTTAAGTGTCCCGGTTTTGTTTGAAATTCCCATAGAATTGCCCTTAAACTATTTCAGAACATGCGATAAAGCATGAATGAAATGAAGTGTAAACACAAATCTAATTTTAATAAGTCATACAAAAATTAACCAAAGGGCATAAAACTAGAAAATGCTAACAGTACAATTTTTTTGCTAGTTTTTCTCCCTGCCTCACTTTGTTCCAGGAGACCGGTTTAACCCGGGCTGTGCTATATGACTTTAAATGTCAATATTTTCACAGTATCCATGTTTATCACAATATTTTAAAATGAATACATAGAAACCGTAACATACACTATATTGCCAAAAGTATTGGGACACCCATCCAAATCATTCAATTCACTTACATAGCCACAGGTGTATAGAATCAAGCACCTAGGCATGTAGACTGCTAGTGGAATAAAAATAAAGTAGAAGCAATTTAGAACAACAGCAGCCCAGCCATGAAGTGGTAGGCCACATAAAATCACAGAGTTGGGGCAACATGGTGAGGTGCAGTGTGTAGAAGTTGCCAGCTGTCAGTCAATCCTAATTGCTACAGACCTCCAAATTTCATGTGGCCTCCAGATTAGCTCAAGAATGGTGTGTACAGAACTTCATGGAATCAGTTTCCATGGCCAAGCAGCTGCATCCAAGCCTTTCATCACTAAGTGCAATGCAAAGCGTCGGATGCAGTGCTGTAAAGTATGCCGCCACTGGACTTCAGAGCAGTGGAGATGGGTTCTCTGGAGTGACGGATCATGCTTGTCTGTCTGGCAATCCGATGGATGAGTGGTTTTGCCGGTTGCCTGGAGAGCAGTACTTGCCTGATTGCATTGTGTCAAGTGTAAAGTTTGTTGGAGGGGGGACTTTGGTAGCGGCAGCGCAGCGTTTCTGTTCTATTCTGTTTGTTCTGATCTCTGATTTATTTTGGTCGGCGAATAAATGTATTAGCAGTAATTGACCTTTATCTTTGATATGCTATATCAGTTTATACTGAACTCGCGATACGTTGCCTTTAGTTGTATTTTGACATGGGGAACCTCCAGTAGTGCACTAGCGTCCACGAGCGCAAGGATGAAGTCTTCTACATATCTTACGTCTTCGAAAACAATGGCTGTAAGTTTTTCTTACTCGTTTCATATCTTAGTTAAGATATACAAGTGACATTTACTTTCTGTGCGCTGTTTTAGGTGGCGCAGTTGTTAGCACTGTCGCCTTACATCTCTGGGGTTCGAGTGTGTGTGTTGAGTACGCATGCTATCCTCGTGTCGTCGGGGGGTTTTCTCCGGTAGTAT